ACCTAACTACTGATTTGCTTTCACTCGCATCAATATTCGAAGAACTGCGTGAATTGTGCTATGAAGCATACGGTGTTGACTTTGCTCACAAATACACAGCGAGTTTTTTGTCGGCCAATTTTAAAAACGTACAAATCAGACGCAATCGGATTTGCGTCTGCTGACAAACAGCGATCAATTGGAAATGGTTGAGTCAATCATACAGGGCAAAAGGTCGACGATAAGCGATAAGAATTACGTGAAAGCCAACAACACAAGTCTGCAAGACTTTATTGAAAGCAAATATTGCAGCTACGTATTAAACATAGAACCAAACAACCTTTACGAGTGCATAACTCGAAAGTTTTGCTCTCCATTTAAAACATTTTGAGATTGTCACTTGGAGATTGCTACTAACCGGCAAAGCATCAGACACGGGCTACCTCGTAGATGTGCACCTGAACTTCTCTAGAGAGCTCCACAGTTTTGTGAAGGACTATCCCCCCGCACCAACAAACTTTTTTTTCATATAACTGCAATGAGCAGTATATAGATAGAAATGCTAAGAGACTAGTTACTATCTTTTCCAATCTCTTGAAAAAACTCACTTGTTTAGAAAATTTATGACCTGCATTAGCCAAGAATTGAATTGTATATAGAAGTAGGTGTTGAGAATACTGACTTGCATAGGGTGCTGAAGTTTCAACAGGAAAAACGAATAGCTATTTTTGTAGAGCTAAACAACAGACTGAGAAAAAACGCTGCAATTCTTTTTTGAGCCCACTTTTACAAAAACATAATAACTTCTGCGTTTGAATTTAAAGCACAACAGTCAAAACTAAACTTTGTTTCAAAAAAAAAACAATCGAACAAAGAAGCTGTGCAAAAGTTCAATGAACATATTTGAGATAAATGATCAAAATCTTGCTACTGTCACGTAAAACCTTATCGTAGTTTTTTGAATCGAACCCACAATCGTCGGTGCACTCATTTAGAGACTCGCAAAAAGAAGCATGATTGATTTCCTTTATAGAAGAAACCCAGCCCAAAGTTCGAGCTGGCTCTTCTTCGATTCGGACAGTTTTATAAACAGCAATAAAACTTTTGATGTGAATGACGATCTCAAAAACATGGAAGAAGTGTTTCATTTTTTAAATTACTCAAAACATCCTGTACTATACAAAATTAATCAAGCTAATGTTGTTTTGCGGTTAAGAGTTGAGTTGGCTGGAAAATTAGCGAAGATTTTGTAGGACTGAAACTAATTGCAACGGATACTGTTTTTTTAGTATCCCTTTGGTTTTTATTGCTCGAATTATTGAAAACACATTATACATTTATAGTCATTAAGAAAACAAATCTTTTTTAATGAAGGAATGGCAGGGAAAAACATAAGATTTCCATTATTCGTAATGATAATTTTTTGTACTTACGACTTGAACAAAAGGGCTACAAGTATCACCCGAAAAGCTTAAACACAATTGGTTCACGGAAAATTCCAGAGATCGTTTTTCAAAATCGGACATTTCGACTGAAACACGTTAGCAATCTTTTGAAAAATTGCAAAATTCGAAAAATTGCGGTCAATATCAAAATTGCGGTCTCTGCCGTTTAGTCACTCTGAGACGTTTGAGGATAACTTTCATGCTGCAATCGTAAAAATAACTGAATGGTAGTGAAGTCGTAGTATGGAAGAAAACGACTCGTAAACCACAATTTTTAGTTAATTTGTAGTTTCCGATCAGAGTATCAACCAGCGCACATACACGCAGAGGCAAAAAAATGAAAATTTAGCAGACATTTCCAAGGTTGTTCGGAAAGAATTTATACACAACCCCTTTATTCTGTCAGAAGATCGGCTCGGGAGGAAAGAGCTACTTCTATGGTGGTCGACTTAACTAGCTACCCAGAAAGAATTGAATGCGATTCACCTTTTATTTGTAGCAAAAAAAAACAGAAAATACATTCAAAAATATAGTTTGCTAAAAGATCTCTAATTAAAAGAAAAGCTGTTAGTCTCTGATTAAAATCTATTGCATGTTGCACTTTTAATGTTATTATAAAATCCATATAAAAAACCGCCAGTCTATGATTGTTTAGAACTGAATGGTCAGGTTTTTTGAGCAATTTCAAAAAACTAAATTTAAAGTTGTCTTTACTTCCCCGAAGCAAAAGAGTGATATATGATTGAAATATTTTTAAAAGAAACAACATTCTAAATGAAACGGTCAGAATTTTTGGAAACTTAAGCTACAATCATGTCAAAAAATTCATAGTCGAAAGTTCACAATGAGGATAGAACTGCTTACAAGCTATTTCTGAAAAGTATTACCAGATTCGAGACAAAAAATATGAAACCAAAATATCCGCCTGGGAACCAGCATTTTGGGGCTGTGTTGGGTAAACCATTCCGAGGAGGTCCTCAAAATCTGAGCGCTAATTTTTAAGGACATGCTTAGCACCCCCGGTAATCTTTGACAGGTTTTGGGATACTAATTTCACGGTCTTTCGAGAATAAGGAGCCAAACTTAAAGATATTCGGCGGCCTATGGATAATCTACCCCCAATTTAGGCCACGGTAAGGATCCCCAGCGGATTGGTATACTATTTACGATCAAGCGAATTTATGGCCTCTGTTTTTTCCTCATGATGATGCTTTGCTCAAAAAAGTTTTTCCCTGTTAGTCCCAAAGGTAAGTAAATCTAGATTGTTTGTACTTACATTGCAGCACCTGACCGACCATCGTCTGTCCTCTTTCCAACTGTCATAATAACTCTGGAAACCTGTAATGATCTGACCGTCAGGACAGATGTAGTCTACAGGCCTATCAAAATTATTCAAATATCCAGACCATTCGCAATCGTTCGCGTTATTGCTGCTTGCCAAACCTGCTCGGACTTTTTTTGTCATACGGCCAAAACTCAAAATACTTTCCTCAAAAAACATTTAAAAGAAAAGGAATTGAAAGATCATGATATGACTTCAATAATAAAGAGTTTATGGCCGTTTAACAAAAATTACGCTCCTTTTCGGCAGTCAATTTGCCAGTCCCTGTCTTGTCCTGTGTTGTCAATTAATAATCCAGATCTTGTCTTGCGGTTTAAAAACGTACTATAAATGCGGCCAATATGGTCTCCATCATTACACTGAAGTTTTTGTTCAAATTTTTTCATTTTAGTTCTTTCTATATACACGAAAGTTATAATGATAAGGATGAGAAATTGCATTATCTGTCACTGAAAACAAATAAATTTTTCCATTTCCGTTATATGCAAGTTTGTTTATTTTTTTTTCAGCTGTTGTTTTGATCGGAATGAGCGAAATGGTCCGCTCATTTCGCTTGAAATTAGCCGTAAAAATGTGCGCGCCAATTCTATTTTTGAAATGTTTCCACAGAGAAATTTCCAATCCTTAAGCATTAACAAATTGCCTCAATTCTCATTTACCATTGTCCGTTTTCTGACTAGACATTATGAATTCAGCTCCTCAACTAAACCTCAACTAAACAAGGATAGCCGGTTACTCTGCACGTAGCACAGAATGTTCCGACCATAGTTTTAAAGAAATACAACAGTTTTTTTAAATGATTGTCGTTTTTTTTGGCATGGTGTGAGTTTTTCCAAATTATTGTCGTTTTTTCGGCATAGTGTGATATAGAAGATGAGCCAAAAAAAACTGGGAATTAGGTATATTCGACAACCATACTAAAAAAGCAAATTGAAAAACAGTTTTAGTAGAAACAAACTTCAAAAAAAAGTTTTTTGAATTTTTGGAAATTTTGATCCCAAAAAGGCGCTAAAATACTCAAAATAAACAAGCGCCACCCAAGTAAAAATAAAATATTAGGTTTTAGTTTAAGCATTTGGAAGCTTTTAGGCAATTAAAGTAGACTGCTCGCTCGCTTTTTTTCCTCGAATTAAGACGAAAAATCAAAAACTTTAAACCGGTTTTTCTTGACACTGGGAAAACTTTTTCGAATTGTCTTAAAGTGATTCGAATCACGACTGTAAGTGCTTCAATATAAAATAGCACTCAATTCAGTCCGATCATTATTTGTGGTACCCGTACTTGTGAGGAAAACAAAAAGAAACAGACGCGAAAACAAATTTCCTCCCCATTTTTAATGGTCGAACAACAAATTTGAGATATAACGGGAGGCGTATATAATTTCACTTGAGAAAAATGAAACTTGTTATTTTGACTGAAAATAATGAAATATTTCGAGGCATAACATGAACCAGTTTTATTCTCCTGAATAGAAAAAAAAAACGGGCCATAAGTTACGGTTTTGAGCCCTTTTGATAAAAGTTACGGTTTTGAGCCCTTTTGTTGAGAGGACCGGCACTGGAACTTCACAGTTGCATCGTTAAAAATTCATTGATGATAATGATGATTTTTTTTATTTATGTATGATTTTTTTATTTAGCTGAATATTGAGACATTTTTATAAAACTTTCTGTGTCTGACGTAGAAAAATGTCTTTTTAGGCCTTTAAAAAGGAAGCGATATAAATTAGATAAAATGGAGATTAAAAAATCTGGCGTCAAAAAGTGTGAAAATTTGTGGAAAAATTTGAAAATGGCTTTTGTGCAGTTTGTAACGGAAAACGGTCTGTGTTTTATATGATGGGCAGAAAAAATGCTCAAAACAGCACTGAGAAAGTACTGAGTCAGTACGGTTACAGTTCTGCTATTTCAATCTCTGTTTTTTTCTCTGAATTAGAGTATATGTAAGTAGTAGATGTTGGAGGTGATCAAGGGGGGAGGGGTGCATGGTAGACCCCATGTATTAAAAAACGTTATAGATTTCCGGTCTACCATG